GACTCTCTGTAAACCGCTTAGAGAGGCCTGAAAGGCCTATGAAGCGGTATATAAGTCTACTGCTATTGCTATTAATTGTATATAATAAATAAGAGTAAAAATATGCAAAAAGCCGTACAAGGACCACGTACTAGAGAGAAAAGAACAAACATGCTCTTCAAATAGGATCTGGCAGTTTGGTGGGAAATTAAGCAACTAAGAGAAAACAAAAGAAACACATGGAGATGCTTCAAAAATTCAAATGACTTAATTTGCAAACTAAGGACGTGAATAAGCAGTAATCTAAAAATGTTATGGAAAAATACTCCTTGAAAAAAAAATGCACTGAATTAAAGCAGTGTAGTCAGCCTGGAAAAACATTCCTTATCAACTCTGTCAACGTTCTTATCCTCATTACTGAATTTACCCATTTTTTCTGGGTTTTACACAATACATTAAACCACAAATAAAACTGAGCAGATTTGGTTTGTGCAGTACTCTAAGCCTCTCATTCTCTCTCTCTCTCTCTCCCTCCCTCCCTCTCTCTCTCTTTCTCTCTCTCTCTCTCACTCACTCACTCACTCATACACACACACACACACACACACAGACCCACACACAAACAAACAATATCATCCACTGTTCTATATTATGACAGAATTAAATCTACAAAAGAGCTGAATTTGTACAGAACACAATAAGAACTCATAATTTGACAGTCAGCTACTCCTTTTTGTTTTCTGTGCTTTAATAATGGGTTTTATACTTCTAGGTTTAGCCTCTAAATTGGTCAAATGCATCTAATAGTTGCAATAATTTTTCTTAGTGTGCTGTGAATAATCTAAGCCTTCGGATACTTTTGATCTAAAGTTTCTATGGTATGTTATAGATTTTAAATGTGTCCATGGGCCAGAACTCATAGCAATGATAAATGTGGAATGTTGGCAGTTTGAGCAAAATTCACGAGATATCAAATGTTGACACTGTCAGGTTTCCAAAATATGCCCTAATTGATTCATGAGTCTCCGACCAAACTTCAAAAGAAAATTAGTCATTTATTAGGAGCATTTATTTTTGGCAAGATCTTTTGGCACTCAGATCTTAGCCTTAGTTGAATTATAGCTGAACTTTACCCCTGTTCCTTCCCTCCCCTCAGTCTGTATCATGAATCACATTCCCCAATGAGGTGCAGCCTTCCCAAGCCTGCTGCAGTAATCTGAGATCCGACTCTAGCTGAAAGAATGCATGGAATGCACGCCCCCCCCACCATTTCCTCACTATGACAACTTTAGGAGTTGACAGATATGGTTAGTCCTCAACTTACAACCATTCATTTAGTAGCCATTTGAAACTACAATACCAATGAAAAAAATGACTTATGTCTGTTTTTCACATGACAGTTGCAGCAGCCTCATGGTCACATGATCAAAACTCGGACGCTTGGCAACTGGCATGGACTTATCATGGTTGCAATCGCCTGAGGTCATGTGATCACCTTTTGCAACCTTCTGACAAGCAAAGTCAGATTCGCTTTAGTGCATTATTAATTAACAACGGCAGGGATTCGCTTAACAACTGTGGCAAGAAAGGTGATAAAATAGGGCAAAGCTCACTTAACCATTGTCTTGCTTAGCGATAGAAATGTTGAGCTCAATTTTGGTCATCATTTAAGGCCTACATGTACTGAACATCAAATACCTTAATAATTTTGCAAACATTTGCCCTCGGGAACTCGTAGAAGACATTTCTTTTGCTGCTCCAAAAGCCAATAGCCAATCCTAAAGACACACTGCAGAAAAGTACCTTTTTTTTGTGCAGGCCAAGTCTTCCAGCCACAATCCTGCCTAAATCCAGAGAACCCAAGAGAACTCACCTGCCCACATAAGCAGCACAACCACAATGATAATTATCTCCCCGGTCTGCAGCTGCCGCTCTTTGTCCAGCCCCTCCATTGTGATGTCTCCTGTAGAAACACAAGGCTGGAACTTGGCAAGGGGATCATTCATGTTACTAAGTCAGACGAGAGTTCCTCAACACCTCCAGGGTTGCTTTGTTTCACATTTCGAGCAGGTCGGCTCTCTGGAGTGACAGGGAGCTAGGAAAGACCATCTTTCACTAACTAGCCTTTGGCTTGTAAGAATTATGGATACGCAACTGGGGACTGAGGAGGAGAACATTGCAAGGTAGCCAATGGAGGTGATGGGTTGACATTGCTGGGCTTTGTTTCTCATTGGGATGAGCTGGACGCTAGTGAGAGAATCTGGCCCCCATGGCCAACTTTAGCAAATGATTGACATAAAAAAAGCTAAGCAAGTTGAAGCCAGCAGAAAAAGAAGACGACAACGGATAAAGTGGACAGATGGGAATGAAAGAAATTGCCAACATATCCTTGGATAAGATAGGAGGTGTTGCTGGACTACGTTTGATACAGCAAACAGTTGTTTACAACGAGCGAAGCCTGGGTTTGATGACACCAAACGAATGAACAAAAGGGTCTCGCTTACCTTGGTTTGAGCTGTTGGATGGAAGTCGGTCGCTTTGCTTTAACGTGCGAAAATGGACTCTCTTGCTAGCCTGACTCTCTCCGTGGAGGCCAATGCTCTGGACCTGGATGATGTAGTCTGCATCCTCTGCCAGATCCCAGAGTACACAGGCCCTGTTTGTGGTGTTCACCTCCCGGATGAATCGTTGCATTTGCCCATCTTGTCGCTGCCAGAACCAGGAAGGTTGTTAAAAGCTGGAGGCCAGCCAGGCTGTGGGACAAGCCCTCAGGCTCACCTTGCCTACTTCCACCAGGCGGCTTAAGGAGAGTTACTGCTACGCTAAGGGACGGTTTAGTCCTAATCTGGGAGGGATGCATCTGAACGGAAGCAAGGGATAGCCCACAGAGGGGTTAGAAATGGGAGGTCCCGGCTGGGTTGGGGTGTAAAGGTTTGATGCTACTTGGTCCCCTGACAGGCTTTCTTCCAGGAGCGCCTCAACGCAAGCTCACCTGCTGTGAAATAGCATAGCCGATGATGACGTCTCCTTCTGGCACATCCCAGGAGACGGTGGCCGAGTTTGCCTTGAGCTGTGTAACAGTCACGTTGACGGGCGATGGGGGCCGATCTGTGGGATGCAAGAAAGTGATGGGTGGAGAACCCTTACTGGCTGCTCACTTCCATTGCTCATAATGAATAGCAATAGCACTTACCGTGTTTCCCCAAAAATAAGACAGAGTCTTATTTTCTTTTGGCTCCCAAAATAAGCACTTGGCCTTACTTTTGGGGAGGTCTTATTATTTTTGTGGTGCAGAAGGCCCCTTAACCTCAGCCTCCTGCCTGCGGATCAGCTGATCCAGAGAGGGCCGGACATTCTGTCTCTGTTTCTGGCACACCCTTGCCAGCCCTAGTGTCGCTGGCCTGCCGTTCTTTTTGCGGCCGCCACTAAGAGAAGGGGTGCGGTAGCTAGGGTTTGCAGGAGCAGCCTCCGTATGGCCATTCCACATGGATGGCAGGTACATGTGGGGCACATGAGGCATGTCCCGCACCTTCCCCCCCCCCAGGAAATGGCAGGGACTGGCTGCGCATGCAGTTAAATATTTTAGGAGAGGGCTTATTTTTTTGGGATGGGGGCTTATTTTAGCGCATGCACTCAAAAGCCCAATTGGGCTTATTATTCAGGAGGTCTTATTTTCAGGGAAACAGGGTATATGCCGCTTTACAGCATTTTCCAGCCCACTCTAAGCGGTTTACAGAGTCAACATATTGCCCCCAACAATCTGGGTCCTCATTTTATCGACTTCGGAAGGATGGAAGCAGCAGTGGGTTTCCCTTATTTTTACCACTCGTTCACCGCATGCGTTCATGCTCGGTTTGTGCACATGCGTGCCTTCTGCCCATCTATTTTGCTTGCATGCGCACCTTCTGCACATGCACCCAGTCTCAGAAATTTGGCTAAAGAGGATGGCATAGAGCCGGGGCAGGTGGGCAGGCCTACCTGCGATCTCCGCTACCAGTTTGCCCAAACCAGTCTGAACCAGCTGAATACCACCTCTGGATGGAAGTCTGAGTCAACCTTGAGCCTGGTGAGATTCAAACTGCCAAATTGCAGTCAGCGAGCAGTCAGCAGAAGTAGCCTGCAGTACTGCCCTCTAACCACTGAGCCACCATGGCTTTACTTAACTTCAGAATGCTGCAGTCTGAGCAGAGATACAATTTCCTTTCTGCCCCAAGCAACACCACATAGCATGCTTAACCTGGTTATTGGATTAACCCAGTTTCTAGATTTGCACAATTATAAAGTAAAGAATCAGGGTGGGTTTGCACCACACAATAAGCCACGAGAAAGCCTAACCAAGGCTAACACTAGCCAACTTTAGCAAGATGCGCAAACACAGCCTTCTTGAACTGATCCAGAAGTAAGGGCCGGCCTCATGGTTCCTTAAGGAAAGTTTTTAAAGATCCCACCCATCCGACTACTATCAAAGTTACTTGATATTCATGGCATTCAGCTTTTCTGCACATGGCCAAGAGCCATCAGCCTGTCTAGGAGCCCATAGCAGCCAGTGCAAGCCTGCCAAGCCAAGGACATAGGTGGGGGTCAACTCTATTCTCCAGCAAGTGTTAATTTGCTAATGGGAGGCTGGCAGCAGCATATGGTGTACCAGCCAGGGATGCAGCAGTACCAGCAGCCAACTTGTACCAACAGCCTACATTGGACTTGGGTGGCGGTTCCTTCTCTCCCCTCTTTTCAGATGAGAAAGATGCTGTGGCTGGAGCAAAGGAGAAGGAGATTTTTCTTCACTGAAGGAATGCTAAAGCTTCTCAGGACATGGCACTGCTGACCTTGAGAACCTGAAGTAAGGCTACTGGTGAATGTCTGGACCCTTCCCAGCTCCCAGAAGAAGAAAACTTTGGGCCTTTCTTCACTAGCCAATACAGGACAGAGGAGGGTGCCCCTCCCTTGTTTCCATGGGGAACAGGGATGCCTTTCTTAGATGTCTCTCACCCAGGCATTCTCAGGAGCTTTTGAGCAGGTGTGAAGCTGAGTTTCAGAAATATTGCCCGCCTGGCAATAGCAGTGACAGGAATTGATTATGAATGTCAATAAATGATACTGCATTTCATATTGTCATACTGAGTATGTACCTTATTTTTCGGAGTATAAGATACAGCTTTCCCCTCAAAAAAGAGGATGAAATCTGGGTGCATGTTATACACTGAATACAGCATTTTTGGCCTCCCGAAACCCCTCCTCCTTCACAAAAATGGACACGCAGAGGGTTTGGGAGGGCAAAAAAGAGCAAAAATGGGCTGTGTTTTGGTCCTCCCAGCCCACAGGAGCATTCTACAAGCCTCCTAAAAGCTACACATGTCCCTTTGTTTTGCAAAAAATGGGCCTGTTTTCACGAAAAACGGGCCTTTTTTTGCTCGTTTTTGCATTCCCCCAGCCTACAGCAGCACTTTGCAGGCCTCTCAAACTCTCTGCATGCCCCATTTTTCACAAAACATGAGGCATGCAGATTGTTTGGGACGTCTGCAGAGTGCAAAAACTTTAAAAAAAAATTCACCTCTTCAAAATCTGGGTGCGTCTTATACTCCAGTGCATCTTATACTCCGAAAAATAGGGTAGTTTCTATTTATTTGCCGCATTTGTTTTCCTACCCTTCTGCCAGAGAGGCTTCTGTGAGGCTCGCAAAAAATGTCCGGGTGCCCATTCTTAATGCCTCAATGAATTATATCCAGGCGTGGTATTAACTTACTTTCCCTACCGGTTCGCAAATGTGAGCGTGCATGCATCGATGCATGTGCTTGGCCTTCCGTACATGCGCTTTGACCACGCGAGTGACTTGCATGCATGAGTGCAGTTTGAAAACGTGCCTAAATAGGACGGCATAGACACGGGGCGGGTGGGCAGATGGACCCGTGATTTCCATTACCAGTTCAGGCAAACTGGTCTGAACCGGCTGAATACCACTTCTGATTGTATCTCTTCCTCTGACACCTCCTTGTCAAAGACAGATGGAGTTTGGAGAGGAGAAGCAGCAAAGTCTGATCAAACTGCCTTAAAAGCAAGGGAATGGAGTTTCCTCTGCCAGGGCCCACAAAGGAACTTCCGAGGGAAAGGCAAAACCTGATGGAATTGATTTCCTTCTTTTGGAAGACATTTTGTTTTTGTTTTTCAAGTTACATTTTTAAGGGATTTATATGGCTAGTCAACTTGGACAACTGTAACTCTGGGAAATGTACAAGAAGCCAAACAAATGTAGTTAAAATCTCACCTGTAATTAATAGGTAATCAGAAACCCAGAAGATACATTACATCCTTCCAGCAGTATCTCCAATCAACCTTGCCTCAACACCAAGGGAAAACCGGAGTTTTTAATCTTTTTTAAAAGCCTATTTGGGGTGATGGTGGGAGAGAACATTCCAGAGGGCAGATCCTCAATAGAAAAGGTTTCTTTTGTCACAAGGAAGGCTGCTTTGTGACTGTGAAACCCAGGATATACATTTAACACCACTTTTTTTTTCTTTAAAAGCAAATCACATTATTTAAATATATCCCTTTAATAGTAGATTAATGTGATGAACATTTAGAAACATAGAAGCTAAGCAAGAACATTGTCTATTGAGAGCAGAAATGGATAGAACCAGTAAAATCCTTTCTTCCTAAATTCTAAATTCATAAAAAATGATGAGCATTGAATGTGCTTAGTAACCATATTGTTCAGTATGAGTTTGAAAACCTGAATGTGAATTGATTGGTGGGCACAGGGTGGGTGGGTGAACGGGAGCTTGACTATCTGTCTGATTTGAACCCTGGATCAGAACAGCCCTTTTAAGAGTATCCTTCAAAATTTTATCCTATGAATCACATTGTGTCATTGAATCCCAAAGATCAAAATGCTTCTAGCTGCTTTTTGTTTTCTAATTCATTTAGTTTTCTAATTCATTTGCTTGGAAAGACAGAAAGAGTAACCAAATGCAGCAGATGTCAACATTCTTTAGAGGGAAGTGAAAGCTAAGGAAGGAAATGCTGGGAGGAAACTATATAAAGACTTCACACTGCTTGTGTGTGTGTGTTTTGTCTGTGTGTGAGAGAGATCCAATATGTTGGTTAGAAATGCCTTTTTTCATCTGCTTCTTAGCTTGGATTCTTTCCAGATCTCCTAATGGAAATATACTAACACCAAGAACCTTGCAAATTTGGCCTGTAGCACGTATACTGCATCAGCTGTTTTCACTTTATTGCCTGTTGCTGATTTTCTGACAAATGGGGCAACACACCCATCAGCTCTGTTACTTGAACTCTGCTACACTCTCATATTTCACACGTTTCATTAACGAAGCTATTTGCACCACTATTCTCTCCGGCTTTGTCCCTTTGCTGGTCCTTGTCCTATTCCTCCTTGATCACTTAAGTTACCAGCTCCTGTCCATCTGAATTTCTCAATCTCACCATGTGGTCATTTTCACTGAATCCCTGGCTTAGCTGGCCAAATTTGCAAGGCTTGTAAATGTCTGGTTTTTAACTCTATTTTTATAAATAGAAAGCATTTGAAGACACCAATTGTAAAGTGGAATATAACTATCCAAAAATTAATACCTGGGAATTGTTAAGTTATTATTGTCTATTCAGTTATTTCTACAACATGATGATTTACAAAATAAATAATTGGGAATTAGATTTCTTAGGTTTTTACTGTCAATGCAGTTATTTCTGCAACATTGTGATCTCCAGATGTGTATTACTAAAACTTCCAGAGTTTTGGGGCAGTTAAGGTGGACCAGAAATCCTGAAAATTGTACTAGGTTCCTGGCTGGCAGCAGCCAGGGGTATAATTGCTTTGCTAATGTAGATGCTTTGCAATTTTATCTAAGTGTGAGTGTATCCCTTCCACATGGCTATGCTAGAAAACCAAAATCTGCTAGCTTCCTAGCAGATTGCATATGGTTTATTGTAAGCTATAAACCCATATGAATAGTGCTACTTTACCTTGGTTGCATTCATAAAAATGTTAACACTATCAAGAAGATATATTTGGCAACGAGCACAGAACAAGCAAGAAGAATAACTCCAGAATATATTTGTTTGAATGGGAGTGGGCACCCTTTAAGCCAAATGCTGCTCTGAGATATAAAAGGCTATGCATGACCTATCCATTGACAGAGCCAGGACTTTGGTCTCAGCCTCTATGTCCCTACATAGGGAGAATGCATTGATATACCATCTAGACATTCTTTCCCTCCACTGCCTGAACTGTTAACTTAGCACATACTTCTGTTTTCCCACCCCATCCCTACCTTTTAAAGGCAGCAAATAGCATTTCATCTATAAAAAATACAAGTTAATCAGCACCAATAATATGTACTACTATGTATGTGAGTGAGGTTGTGATTCATGGGGGCCTTGAGCTAGCATCTCAGGCTAGTGTAGTGGAGCAAATGACTGCTTCCTTTCTATCAAGTGCCAGATTCTCTTACTCTGTGTGGCTCAAGAATTGAAATGAATGGGGGAATGGGCTTTGGTGTTTGTTGCAAGGTGCCAAGTACATACTTCTTAAAAAAACAACTTTGCAGCTGGCAGAGCAAGAGCACTTGGACAAGGACCTCAGAGAAGACCTAGCAAGGCCAAATGGCAACAACCTTGAGTCAAGCTTTTATTCTAATGAAATTGGCTGGGATTTTGATGTTGGGCAAAAGGAAAGGTGGTGTGGGGAAGTTCTGAGAAGAGAACAACACAACTTAAGCATTGAGGGTCTTTCTTGCTTTCAAACCTCACACAACTGAATTGTCCCAAAGGGACTTTGTTCTTTTGTCCAGTGACACAGCTGTCTTTCACCATGCCACTGTAGAAGCACGGGCAGGCCAATAGGCCTGAGCCCCTCTCCCTAAACCAGAGTCACACCGTACAAGTGGTCCCTGAAGCAGGAAGGCACGGGAGACCTACTTCAGCACCAAGGCCAGTGACTGAGAAGTGGGCTGGTCCGAAAGGGCGCCGAAAGGGGAAGCTTTGGAAGAAGTGGCCATTGGGGGAGGGAGGGGAATCTCAGGGTGGGGATCTCGGTCTGGATCCACTGGGGAGATTCTTCCACCCCCATCTCCATCCCCTACACTTACTTGCGCGCACAAGGCACAGGTCGCAGCTGACCAGGACCAGGACGGCGGCCGGATTGAGGTACGTGGGAATCGGAGCCATGACCGCGGCCAGATGCAGCAGCTGCTCATCGAGTCGAGCGGGGGTGTCGGCGCGGCTTCGGGTTCGTCGGGAGCCCCCTTCCCGCGACAAAAGGGTCTGGACGGCCGTCTCCGGGACGCTCAAGGTGGCGAGGGACGCGCGGAGGGAACCGCAGTGTCCGCCGCAGGGACGAGCGCCACGCTCCCCCAGTCAGCAGCGGCTCCGGAGCTCGGCGCCGAACCGCCACCTGCTCCGCCGCCGCTTGGCGGCTCCATCAGGCGGGCCCAACACCGCCGGGAATCTCCGCGGAGCTCCGCGATGCTGCTGCTGTTGATGCTGCTGTTGCAACCCAAATCCGCTACAAGGTCTGTGGAGGGGACGTCGCCGATTCAACTCCGCCGCTCCTGCCAGCCACGCCAAGTCATGAACCGCTGAATGCTGTCGTTTTGGACGCCCCCTCTTCCTCCTGGCTCCGCGCCGGCGCTCCGCCCTCGCCCCTCGGGAATGAATGGTTGGTCTAAGTCTGCGGGAGACCCAGGCGGCAGGAGCCCGTCCCTGACAAGCAGGGCTGGGCTAGGCTGGGCTGCACTGAAGAAGACGCCGCCTATGGAGCAAAGCGACCCCTGCAGTTCATGTCTGAGGCGTTCTTGGAGTATTTTGTTTTGCAGCAGGACACATCTGGAGTAGGCGTCGGGAATGGGGAGAAATCCTGAGCGTCGTTTGAGATGAGAGAAGTGTCAGGGGAGACTCACTTGTTGAGACCTGCACTCTGGAAGGCAAAGATGCCCGGAGGGGACAAAAGGGGAAGACTGTCTGTCTTTACCTTGATGCCCTACCATCTGCTTCTGGCTTCTCTGTAGCTGTTATCAGCCAGTGGGAGGTGTTGCATGGAAGCTGTTAAAACAAGGCACAGGTTTGCTTAACACCAAAGATTTACACCGTGTTACCTAGTTGGGTTATGAAATATCTGCAAGTAAACAACCAAGCTCAAGAGAGCCCATAGGACCTTGCACTGAGCTACACATGTTCTCTATTGATTTCACACTAGATTTTTCCGAGATGCCAAAGAACTAAAGAGGAATTAAAAAAAAACAATTGCACACATGGACACAAACATGTGAAGAAATAAAATAAGATAGCATTATTTGAGAAATGAAATCAGCAAAAAGAAAAACCATGCAAAGTAGTGTAACAGATAAAGCATTTATATCCAGTAATGAAATAACCTCACGCAAGTTATCCTAACAATTCAAGACATATACTGTAAGTGAAAAGCTTCATGAAAACACATTTGTCTCTTCTGACAATCTTCTCAATGAAGAACCCTGTTCTTTGTTACATTTGACAGCTTTATATCTTTCTCTACCCATTTTATAGCAACTTTATTTTTAAAAGGTGTTGCCTACACATATACACATCTTTCCAAAACTTTATATGTACATTTGTGTGAAGGTGGTGTGGTGTATGTACACATGTACACGAATGTGTTATGTATCTGTGCTTCTTGTCAGAATGTAGTACACCTCCAGCAGTTATCCTCCTGGATATTGTACATGTATACATTTCCCCACCTATGTAAACTATTACATGATTTTTGAGGTCTCCATCAGTACAGTTTATTTCTTGCTTAGAGGCAATTGAGCTGCTAAGGAAGTTTCAGCAACTGATATTATGCCTCTAATAACTATTAGGCTAAAGCAAATTAAGGCAGGCAGGCAGGCAGGCAGGCAGGCAGGCAGGCAGGCAGGCAGGCAGGCAGGCAGGCAGGCAGGCAATAAATCAGACATTTAAAAGCCATTGTCTTATTTAGTCTGTCTTCCACAGGTCTTCTCAGTTGCCCAATCCTCCTTTAAGCAGCAGCTGAAAGGGCATGATTTCTGATCAGTATCTTTCAAAGCATCAATGATTAACCAAGAAGTGGCTTAGTGATATGATCCTTTATCCCCTTGGTCAGCTGACTGGAGGTAGGGAAATGCTTTGCCCTGCAAAGACTGATATGATGACAGTTCTATTCTTTCTTTCTTCTTTCTTCTTTCTTCTTTCTTCTTTCTTCTTTCTTCTTTCTTCTTTCTTCTTTCTTCTTTCTTCTTTCTTCTTTCTTCTTTCTTCTTTCTTCTTTTCTTTTCTTTCCTTTCTTTCTTTCTCTTTCTTTCTTTCTTTCTTCCTTTCTTCTTTTCCTTCCTTCCTTCCTTCCTTCCTTCCTTCTTTCTTCCTTTGTTACTTACTTAGGAGAATTTTTCTATTTTCTTGCTTAATCTAGCAGGGTAGATCTCTGGTTGCTCAAACCATTTTCATTCTCTTGATCAATCCTATCCTTGTTGGATAAACAGTACTTTTGGGTGTATTGCGCCCTCTGCTGACAAAAACAACAACAAATAGTTATATTAGCAAGCTGGTGCAGAGACGTCATTAAGAAATAACAGCCTGGCGTGGCTGAGGAGTCAGAGGAATGTCAGCTATCAATAATTTGGATTCTCGCATCATGGATTTACACCGCACATGAGACTAAGCTGAAATAGGTTTGGGTAGTTCATGATTCAATATGCTGTGAGAATCCAGCAGTTACCTTGGCATACTGTATATATCAAACCACTATTACAATTATTTAGGGGGTGGCTTAGTATGTTATATTGACACAGATAAAATGTTTCATTCAGCCAGTTTTAGGATGTAATATATGTGAACCCAGCCACAGAGTATCTTAAATAAAAAAAGATTCAGCAGAAGGCAACACTTTCAGGACCTTGGAGAGTTCAATGCAAAGAATGATTGGGAGAGCTGTTGTGTCAGCATCTGTTAGTGATCAATGAAAGCTTTAAGAAAGTTAACAAAGCTATAAGTTATTTCAGGCTCCATGGATTTCAGGCTCTCTTAATACAGTTAATATACTCCACAAGTATTTAATATTTCCCCCCTCTTCTGACACATTAAAACGACAACTTTACCTAATGAAAGACCTAACAGATAAAAGACAGCAAATTGTTAATTATGACTGTAGCAATTATACTTAATTTAAAAGGCAAAAATGCCTACTGAGTTTTCTATATTTACACAACCCTTCCATGTCTGTGTGAAGTCCCAATTTTTATAATATGCTGTTTGCCTCAAATCACCTCTTGGTGCATTATGGAATCAGGGCACCATGTGGTGGTGATTGTCCAGTAGCAGTATGAGATTCCCTTCTAATGGGCTTGTGGTGCTTTGATTTGTTGCAAACTCATGATAAAATTGGCTAAGCATTTAATATTCATTCATTTATTATGTATAGCACAATTACAACTTAGAATTATAAATAACAAAACATAAGATTAGTTGCTTTTAGCATTAAAATTATTGTATAGCTTTCTTTGTTTCTCAGTATTATAGTAAACTGTAAAGATGCTAAATATAATAATTTCTTTCAGTATATATTATATTAAGTAACTTTATAGTTACTAGTTACTTTAATGTTGGAGGGATAGAGACACCATTTACCATTCTGTCTTAGGCATAAAAATGTCCCGAGCCAGTTCTGAGTTTACATTTCAGATGTGACAAATACCTTATTAATAAGCTCTTCATTTACTAGAATTCCCTGAATACAGATTACACATAAATTGTTTTATTCCTTGCAGAGGAGAGAGAGTGAGTCTGAGAGTATTTTAAGCCTCCTTTGTATGTCTCTTGATTAAAAAGCCTGAACATTACTGCAAATTTATGCAAAGGGAATCCAGAATGGTGCGGGCTATTAAGCTCTAAGCAAAAGGACTTCTTTTAAAATGTGACTTTGGTAAGTTATTGGGCAATTTTAGATTTTTGAAGGTGGACATCAAACCAAATGTAGCAATAGCAATAGCACTTAGACTTATATACCGCTTCACAGTGCTTCTTCAGCCCTCTCTAAGCGGTCTACAGAGTCAGACTATTGCCCCCAACAATCTGGGTCCTCATTTTACACACCTCGGAAGGATGGAAGGCTGAGACCACCTTGAGCTTGGTGAGAATTGAACTTCCAAACTGCTGGCAGTCAGAAGTTAGCAGAAGTAGCCTGCAGTACTACATTGCAACCACTGTACCACCAGAAGAGGTTCTGGTTCTTTACAACCAGAAGTGGACACTGAACACTGGTAAGAGCTCATGTCTGAATCTATGAAGTAGAATAAGAGCAAAAAATATCAATTCTTTGCACTTATTGCATCCACAGACTCTGGACCCACAAACCTGTTCCATGAAACCCAGACCCTTCTGGAGAAGGATGAGCGAACCACAATTCCAAACTAACAATTAATTAATTAACTAACAATTAATTAATTAACAATTAATTCCAACAATGAATGTTGCTGGTTTCTTAGCAGATAAAGATGCTCATATCCGCTGTCATTTGGAAACAGAGTCTCCTGTGATGCATGGAACAATGTCCTGTAGAATCATCTGTGGTTCTTTTGAGCATGAAGTATCAGAAGAAGTGGAGAGGTTCTCCCTTGGTTTCAATGTTGCCACATTCAACTTGGCTTGACTCCTGCCTTTCTTGTCTCTTCCAGGTAGACTGTGGGTAAGCTGGATTCAGGAGGCTGTTCATGCTTCTTTGAATAACATTGTTTGCCTTGAAGAGGAAAGTAGCACACCTCCTGAAGAACCCTACATGAACTCAGCCATTCCTGACCACTTTCCATCTAGTTTTCAATATCTCTTTTCTGATGAAGTTTGTAGTGTAGGTAATGGGGGAAGTGTTGCCCAGAAGGAGTTTGTATGTAATCTGAAGCTCATCTGAAGCTGTTACCCCTGAGGACGTGGACAAGGCCATGGGAGCTGTAAGTGCCTCCACATGTGTACTGGACCCGTGCCCCTC